CCAGTACCAGCTTTGCCTTCTCGATTATATTCACTGGGGACTAACAAAAACCAGGACTAGAATTCAGGCTTGCTGAGGAGCTACCGTATGTGTAATCTCTGCTTGAGGGAAGCAGTATCTGTGAAAGGCAGCAGTAGTAGTTTCTACCCTCTGAACTTTTTCCCTTGCCACCTTGTGTATCACAATCCCTAAACTATCCACTTAATTAGCAGTTACACTTGGATGCTGATTTATGCTTTTATTCATGGATAGCCAACTCTGTGAATGGAGCTTATGGCTACAGATCGTCGTTGTTCTTCATATTTTTGTCTTGATCAGCTTTTAAAACATATTTCATTGCTGATTTAATCAAGTATTTTATAGAAATGATAAGAAAATACAACAATCATTTCCTAAATATACTAGCATCTTAGCAGAGAAAATACATGTAGTTACATCACTTTTAGTATGTTTTCTTCCCCCTTGCTAAGCTTCAGAAATAAAAATTCCTTATTTGTCTTTCTGATTTATTTTTGCTAGGTATGTCATCCCATGCCACACCAAGGCTGCTCATTTTGATATAGATTGGGGTAAGGAAGATGATTCCAACCTGTTAATAGGCATCTATGAATATGGTTATGGCAGGTGGGGAATGATAAAAAAGGATCCTGATTTGGCAGCTGGGAAATGATAAAAATGGATCCTGATCTTAGTTTGACACAGAAGGTATGTCATCTACAGCATTTCAAACTTTTTTTTCTTTAGGTGGTAATGCTACTAAAAACAGTTACTGAAAGAGCTTATTTTATGATAACCGAAACTGCAGAGACATAGATACATCAGCTGTACTTTTTAGTGTCCTTCTTGTGGTATATTACTGGATTTTAAGGTCTTATTTATTTGGTTAAAGTATACTTTCTTGCAGTCAGTTATGTTGCCATATTTTCTTATAGATGGGCCTCTGTAACTTGAATTTTAATTTTCATTTTTCTTTCCTTATTATAATGTTCTAGTTCTGTCCATTTTGTATTCTTGAACTTTTGGAAGGGAGGTTTTTTTAAAAATTTGATTTGGTTTCCACATGCCCATTTAACGCCCAGGTTCTTCACTTGAGGCTGTCTGTCACTTACAGCAAGAGAACAGCTGTATTAGAATTAGTGCAATAGCTCCTTAGCAATAGTGAGCAACAGGTAAAGGGAAAGACTGGAGTGAAGTAAACTTTGTGACAGTGTCAAAACTTTGTGTCAGTTTTGGGATTTGATGAACCAGACTTGTGTCCAAATTAATTTAATGATTCTTACTCGTGCCTTCCATTAGTTTGCCTGTTTTTTGAAACCACCTATTTATATTTTGGCATCTGCAGTATCCTATAGTGAGTTCTTCATTTAGAAGATGAAAGAGGCAGAGCCAGGAGTTCTGTAGATGACTGGTAGAAGAGCTCAGAATTTCTTACATAAACTGTCAGAGTGGAAACAGAAATCTGAGGCTGATTTATTGAGTTTCTTATAAACAATGAGGCAATTTTCAAGACTGCATTGGATGCATGATTGGAGAGAAATTAAAATGTTTCAGAAATTTTTCCATTGCTTTAAGCATGCTGACATACTTGCAGGTATAATTGAAGTGGATTATTCTCTGCCGCCTTTTACGCAGCTTTTTCTGTTCTGTGTGCTCCAGGTTAGCATCTTCGAAACTTGACAATATGTTCTCAAAGCGCTGATACTACCATTGTTCTCCTCAGATTTTGCCTGACGATCCAGACAAGAAACCACAGGCGAAGCAGTTACAGACCCGTGCAGACTACCTCATTAAATTACTGAATAAAGACCTCGCAAGAAAGGAAGCACAAAGGCTTGCTGGTGCAGTAAGTAAAATTTGGCATTCATTAGTGAGATAAAACGATACTCTTATGGGTATATCAGCTGATCTTTCTTTTTTAGATCTGTTCTTTGTGTGTAGTATTACTCTGTATTGGTAATCATATTACGTGAGACTACCTCAAGAAACTAATTGCAAGTTTCATTATGTATTTTTCTCTTATTATTTGTATGTATTTCTACTGTTCCACTATGCTCCGTCTCTAGTTCTGACAAAAGTGGTGGTCGTTAGTGGCAATAAATAAAATAAAAAGAATCTTTTTTTATGTTAAAAAAGGAGAATTTTTTTTTTTTTTTTTACGACTGTGGTGCAAAGATGCTTTTATCACTCAGCATACTAAAGAGATCAATTTGCATTCAGGGCAATTCAAAGAGGAGGAAAACAAGAACTAAGAAGAATAAGGTGACAAAGGCTGCAAAAATAAAAGAAGAAATAAAAAGTGATTCTTCACCACAACCATCAGAAAAATCTGATGAAGATGATGAGGATAACAAGGTATCTTTATCATATGAAAGATCAGCATTCAGTTCTTCTATTAATATTGACTTTTATTTTATCTTCTGCTTGACGTAGTGAAATTGAAACACCTAAATATCATCCTTTTCCTGTGGCCACTACAGTTGATGTTGCATCAGTACAAGCACGTTTAATTATAAGCCAGTAGCTGAGGAATTATGAGTAGTTTTACAAATTATATTATAGAAAAATGTGGTCTAATTACAAGTGGCATTGCTCAGTTTGAATACATTCTTTTGAATACATTCAGTGCTCATTTGAGTACATTCTTCATTGTATCTGCTAGAAATGCAAAACTACTGTAACACACAATTACAAAACTAATGTTTCTGGCTAATGTGTGATTCTTCAGATAACATTTTTTTGTTCAGGCTTAGAAGAAAAGCATCACGCTCAATTAGAATGAGCAGCATGAATAAATGGTATTTCAAGACTTGCATATGAAAGCTCCTGTATATGGCATGGCTTTCATTATCCAGAAAGACAGTATTTAACCAACTGTTTAACCTTGTTGAGTTCTGTTACTTTTGACGTTTACCTTTAGGCCACTGCTTTTGTTGGGTCTTTATTTCTAATATTTATCACACAGCAGAAACCACAAGAGATAAAACTTTAGTTAAAGTTTAGGGTCATGTCAAACCTACTTTTTTAACTTTGTGACTATCTGAAATAAATCAGTGCAAATATACATGTATAATCAAAATAGTACTTGGTTTAAAATAAACTAAATGGAAATGTCTTCTGTAGCCATTTTAAACTATTACAAACCACTGTAATTGTCAACTCACTCTATAGGAAAAAATACGTACACAAATACATAGTTAAAACTGAGTGACCCTTAGAAAAGCCGTGATACACCTCTAAAATTAGTAATTTTTTACTAAAGCATTCCTATATGTATTTAAAATGTGCTATTAAGAATTAAAAAAGCCAGAAAAAAAATTTAAAACTTTGGATTGAGGCTGTCTTACATTTACAGATGTCTGGAATGTCAGATTAAAAACATTGCGTGTTGTTGCAGTTTCCAGTTAATTAACATGTGCAACTGAATTCTAAAACTAAGGAAATAGTGTTTAAGCTAGTTAAAAAATGAGTGTTAGACTTCATGTCCACTCAAAACAAGAGGACACTGCATTGATTGATGTGTTATGTTTTAGGAAAGTGCTTAGAATGCTGTCCCCTTTTGTATATTTAGTAACAAATATTCATCATTGTAATGCTTTTAGACACAGGCCAGCAGTTACACTTTTGACTAGGCACAAAAATGGGCTCTAACTACCCGAAACAGTTGACTTTAGCTACTTAGCTGCCATACTCTGTGCAATATTTAAAACTTACCTGAAGCTGTTGGATTTTTGCTGAGGAGTTTCCATGATACCTAAATACTGAACTCCTAGTTGGGCTTATTACTTGATACCTCATCTGAGTAACTTGGTTGGATGCATGTATTAGGCATTCTTTCATCTGTTTTCCTGCAATGGATTCTAAATATGCTTTTCCAGGGTGTACCTCAAATCAGTTCAAAGGCTATAATGATTCTTGCACTTGTACATAATACTTTTGTTACTTATTATAGTGTTTTACTGTGTTTCCAACACAGATCTTATAACTGAATATCATAAGGACCAGTGGAGTGGTATTTTGTTCACCTTCAAATAATTAAAAAGGCCCCTATCTGACAATCGGTAACTAAGACATTTTTTAAGCCAGTAAAAAGAACATCTCTGGAAAAGAGAAAACTGAGACTCCCTTGCCTTCTCCTGTGAATGTTTAATACAGGATTGGTAAAAAGTTAAAAGCTAACTAGAAGAGAGGTCTTCTAACATCCCCATTACTTGAATGTCCTGACCAATCAGCTCAGCTTTGTGAGGCCTACTTCCTTTATAGGTTTTTAGCTTTTAAGAGACTGACTGTCTTTTAGAGGGACAGCATTTTAAGTTAATTCTAACTAAAATTGACATAATTTCTCACCCCCACTACCACTGCCAAATCAGTACTTGCTTTGTCACATCAAGGAAGTTTGTGAGTAGTTCTCATCTTTCTTTGCAGCTGCATTCAGTTCTATTTGATAGGTGTTAAATCTGTGTCCGAAAAGGAAAAAAAATACACAGATAAAAAGTATGTTTTAATCTGACAGTGAAAAATTTGTATAGATAGGAACTCGGTTTGATGTGACATATATGCTTGCATATTGCAGGATGAGATTGTTTCAGTGAAACATCCACATAAAAAGATAAAAGCAGAAAAAGAAAATGAAGAAAAGCCTGAGCCAGATACTGGTATAAAGAAGGAATCTGAAGAAAAAAGAGAGACAAAAGAAAAGGAAAATAAGAGGGATTGGAAAAGGGAAAAAAAAGAAAAAGAGGATAAGAAAGAACTAAAGGAGAAAGATATTAAAGAAAAGAGAGAAAGCAAAGTAAAAGAATCCACACAGAAAGAAAAAGAAGTAAAGGAAGAGAAGGTAACTAGGTTTGCTTATCTTATATAGCACTAGAAAAGGCCACTAGGTTTTTCATGAATGATTTTGAGATGAAAAGGTGTTTTGGATCTGATAATTTCATTTGACATATCTTACATCATTTGAAGTTTTATTTTTACTACCTGAAACCATGAGGATAGGCATATGTAATGGGAAATTATGTCTTCAATGATACACCTTAGTTGGACTGAGAGTACAAGTATGTGCAAGAGATTTTTATTCCTTTTCCTTTCTCCTTTTCCATCCACATGATGTACGGTCATTACTGTACTTGTACTGTACAGCATAGTTTTTATTCTTATTGTTGAAGAGAATGCAGTAGTTAAGGGGATTATCATACGTTATGGGATAATTCCAGAGCCAAAATAAAGTTTACTTAAATATTTTTATGTCTTGTTCTTAGGTAAATGAAATCAAATCTGAAAATAAAGAAAAAACTAAAAAAATTCCATTGTTGGATACTCCAGTTCATATTACCGCAACTAGTGAACCAGTTCCTATATCAGAAGAATCTGAAGAACTGGATCAGAAAACTTTCAGTGTGGTAAGTCTCTCTTTGTTAAGTTAGTTTTTATGTTTGATAGTCTAAATGAGGAGAATTTCTGATGTTCTTGGTTCTGTTACTTGGCATGTACAGGTGATCTTTTGCTAGTAAAGTCTCAGATCAATGAATGTTATTGACACTGTACTAAAGTAGTTTTTGTCTTCATTCCAGCAGTTTTGTTTTATTGTTTACTGTATTTATGCAGGATAGTAGTAAAAGTTATCCAGTGTTCTGTGTACTGAATAGAATTAAAATACAGATTGTAAACTTGTGTATCCTGCTTCTTAAAGAGCAGGCATGAATAAACTTCCATGCAATTTTCAGCACTCCTCTCCTGAAGTATTTCTGACTTAAATTAGTAGACAGAGGAAGGAACAAATGTTAAAGCCCTTAGAAATACCTTGCTGGAGTAATCTCTCTGACACCGAAAGAATTTCATTTAATCACTACTTCCAACTAAGAACAGAATCAATATTAGAGGATAAAAAGAACGTACACACAATTCATGTAAAGTTTTATAGGTCGGCTGTGGCCTTTGGAAAGGTATCTATGGAAAGGTTACTTTGAGCAGCTACTCTCCTGTGAGTGTTTCATCATTCAGATTTCAAGAGTTGTTTGTTTCTGCCAGCCAGGTTTATTGGGGCTGGTATGGATGCTCTCTTGTCACACGCAAGTAAGATCCTCTTGAGTAGGACGGTGACTGGTCTATGTATGGTTTTATTCTAAACATTACAAATAACTTATCTGTAATGTCCAGGATGAGCCTTGAGTGATTCAGGTGGATATGTTTGTGTGGCTAAGTGACAGAAAATCCTTGTGCAGTTATATTTTTCTGATCACTTATGTAGTTAAGCAGTACACTCTGTCTGCTGTCTTTTAAAGGCTACTTTAAGCTATGGCTAGTGCAGTATGTTGTGGAGCTGCCTAATTATATAGAGGTATGAGCTGGCAGTGGAACAGTTTGCCTGATTTTTCAGAGTTGTCCCTAGATCCTTACATGGTAATAGTGATGTTCTATTTCATTCCATTCCAAAAATTAGTTTGGTTTTTCAATTTAATTTTTTTTAATCTACAGGCTTCCTTTTGTTCTTACTGGAAGTAATTCTAGGTTGGATCTGTGTATAGAACACCTTTTTTTGGTCCACCTTTTTTGTTCTGAACTGTCTTTATCATTATGCCATGATCAGATGCAGCCTAATGTGCATACTCAACTACAGCTTCAACTAGAAATTTCTACTGTGGGTTGTCCAAACTTAACTAATTCAGCTCTCTGTGACAAGGAGAATGTGCATTTCATCTGTTTACCATGCCACTGCAGTTGGATGTGATTCCTGAGCAAGTGTCTGTAATGTAAATAATGCTAACTAGTTTTATCTGGATTTATTATTAAAACATTTGATTCAAAGTGTGAAAAATCAAGAACGCATATATGACGCATATCTGTGTTGCCGTCAGTGCTGATACTCAACTGGCTTTACTGTAGATAGCTCAAGTTCTGCTGGTGTCTGCATAGGACTGAGGTTCAGGAACTGGTCAGAGTAGTAATGTTGATTCTCTGCTGAATGCCAAGTTTAATTGTTGCAGAAAGTATCTGTTTGAAATGTAGTGAACACTCTCATCTTTAATTTTGATATTGAGTTTGTGTAGCTTTCAAGGTGCTAAAAAGTATAAGTCTTGTCCTGTATGATTGCCCTGAAAGTTATGATTGTAAAACCCAGTTGTAATGAGTCCTTTTCCTCAGAAATTCCCTTATATTAAATTAGTGCTTTCTTAAATCCTTGATATGTGTGTTTTATACAATCTGACAATTTCTTAGAGGAGTAAGTTTCCAACTGGGTTTTAAATACAACTTTTTCCAAAGGATCTATGTAAAACATTTTTAAGAGCTGTGGCGAAGTCTTGTTTCATTTGGCTTGTAACAATACTGTTTTTGCCTATAGATACAGATCTATGTAAAGGGTTGGTCATGTTTCAGAATTTTTTTCTTTGAATTTAATTAATTAAATTGAATTAATGCCTAACTTTTTTCCATTTTACAGTGCAAAGAAAGAATGAGGCCTGTCAAAGCAGCATTGAAACAGCTGGATCGACCAGAGAAGGGCCTTTCTGAAAGAGAGCAGCTGGAACATACTAGACAGTGTCTTATCAAAATTGGGGATCATATTACTGAATGTCTAAAGGAGTACACAAATCCTGAACAAATTAAACAGTGGAGAAAGTAAGTTATTCTTCTTGTTTTATCTTAAACAAGGAAAATCTATAATTGCTTCTATAAGGCAGAATAGATTTTAATTTCTCTCATTTCGTGTTCTGCCTTATATTTTTCTGCTGTTTGAAATAGGAATCTATAAAAATATTATTATAGATGGCTTTGACTTCTAATGGACTTTTTCATACTGCATAGCAATGCATTTTGTCCAATAGGTGGAGTAATCTCACTTCTTACAACTGAAGGCTGACACTAGATAACTTCTTAGACTGTTTTCAGGGGAAAAGCATTCTTACCTTTAAGGATCTGGTTAATTTTCAACTTTGTTTTGTTTTGGTTTTTTTGGTTCCTGCTAAAAATAGGAAATTCTAAATATGTGTTGAACTTTATGATTTTGAGTTGCAGACTTCTTTATTATCTTTAAAGTACACTCCTAAAATTAAATTACATATTAACTGTCACTTGATAAAATTATTTATTATAACATAGTCAGATGTATTTAAAAAATTAAAGAAATTTGTCTATGAGGTGACAACTTAAAAAAACAGGAAAAATTGTTGGTTTGTAGACTTCTTTCATTTCATTGAGAATTTCTTAAAGCAATTTGAGTTACCTTTATCGAAATGTACACTTCAATTTTTTGTGGCTGAAAATACATCCTGCACTTCCATATGAAAAAGACAGTTAAGTGTTTCATTTTCTTGAAGACTTCTACTAGTGTAGAATGTTTCTGCTGTTTTTATCTGCTTTACTTCAAAATACTAAAGTGGTCTGAAATACAAAAGCAAGATCCATGCTCATGTAAATGTTGTATTCTTTTAAGTGAAAACTCAGAGCTATTGTAATGCTGCAATATTATATGTAGAGTATTAAAATATGTATTTCAGCTGTATTTTATAAGAAGTGTAGTTAAACTACTTAGCTTATATAAAGTTATACAGATATCATTAGGCACACCATGTGTTGTGTAATTTTCAAACCTCTAGATCAAATTTATGTTTAAATAAGCACAGGGAAGGAGCAGACTGTTGTTTTCTGAGCCTACATGCTTCAGGTGCTTGTGAACACTAGTATTCTGTAGACTCCTTTAAGCATTCCACCTGTAAATTTGACTAAAAGAATTCTAGACTTTAGATCTGTTACGTGTGATTGTAGAAGCAAATTCTGTTCTTCTTTTGCTACTTTGAGCACAGATTAGGCACAATTTTTTTTATTTTTTTTATTTTATTCATGTCACTTCCATCCTCTTTCACAGTTCTCATTTGGTTTCAAAAGCTTTGACTAGGCTTTGGAATTCTGTTGAAAAAGCTTCTCACTGGTATTTTCATGAATTGAAATCAGGCTTGTATGTCAAATGCCTTACATTGTAAGAGATTTCAAGGTTGTTTGGAGTTTTTTTACTTAAATTTTACTTAATGAGTGGTAAATACTCAAAAGTGAAACTTTCAGAAGACATACATAAACTGATAACTACATTTTTAAGGAGTTTCACAAATAATTTTATTAGCATAATTGTTATTAGTACTACTTTCCATGCACTTTGCTCTCTGAAGTACTTATGATAAATGGTTAATCCTACAATTTTAAATACAGCTAGGTAATTTTTGCTGTGCAACTAGGTAGTATTGTGTAAATTTTAGTGTTTCTGCTTTACCGAAGTAGTGTTCAAATAATGTCAGTTAAATTCATGTTCTGTGGCATAATACGGGAAAACCCAAATGTATAGAGGAATTACAACTTTTCTTTTCTTCTTCCTCAGAAATTTGTGGATTTTTGTCTCTAAGTTTACAGAATTTGATGCCAGAAAGCTGCATAAACTGTATAAACATGCAATTAAAAAACGCCAAGAGTCTCAGGTAATTTTTTCAGACCTTTTCTAAATACACAGTATGACTCATAAAGGATCATAAGGAACACAGAAATACACTTCAAGTAGCATTTGTGTTTTTAGTAGTCTCTTTTGTTAGGATATTTTTCTAATAAATTCAGATGAACTGGATTTAGCAACGAGTTTTTGTACTTGTCTCTTTTAGCAACACAATGACCAGAATATTGGCAGCAATGTGAACACACATGTAATTAGAAATCCAGGTAAGAAACATAATATTGTGTTAGATATCTTAGTTTTCATGCTTACTTCATTTCACATGTCTCCTTGATATGTTTCCTACGCTAAGTATCACAGAGATAGGCTGATTAGCAAAAGTTTACTAGTTTGCTGATGAAATCCAGCTGAGTGCAGGCTGAAGCTGGTACTTACTGGTTTTAGTAGCAAGTTATTTGACCATCCTTTAAAAAAATTTTTGAAATGTTTTTTGTGTTTAATTTTTGCAATGGAGAGAGGTCTACTTTAAACCTGTAAATTTCTTGGAACTTCTGTGCCTTTTTGTAGCTGCTAATATCACTACCATGTAAGAAAGCAAGCTATTCCTTGGAGTTATAGTTTGTAATTAGTTACATGGGCTGTCTTATATGGTTGACAGTAACACTTTCTGATTTTTCCATGCTCCTACGTCTGCCTTCTTGTAATACTTGCTTTTATCTTATGTTATATAATTCTTTTAGTATGTTTTCATGGACTTAAAATCGAGATACTGTGTTTTAGGAATACCACTAAAAGTTTTCCATTAACAAGGTGTACCTTTAAAATGCTTATTCATGCTAATGGCATCCTTTCTTAGAGAAGAAAGTGCTACAATTCTGTCTAAAACTGCTGTACTAAAAGCACTTCTACTCACTACTCATTTGTACCACACTTAGCTTCACAGACTGAAAGGAAAGGTTGAAGATTTCAGTTTCCAAGTCCTACACATCTACATTTTAGATTGCTTCCCTCTTCAGTGTTTCTGTCAGTTCACTCGCATAGGTGCATATCTTGTTTCTGTCAAATTATGATGTAACTTCATACTGCTTTATATATGACACATAGAAGTGCTGTTTGAATTAGGTGAAGAAAGGACTTTGAGATTTACTTTTAACCTCTGCTTTATTAAACAGATGTGGAAAGACTGAAGGAGAATACAAACCATGATGACAGTAGCAGGGACAGTTATTCTTCTGATAGACATTTTTCACAATATCACGATCATCATAAAGACAGGCAGCAAGGAGATGCATACAAGAAAAATGACTCTAGGAAAAGGCCCTATTCAGCCTTCAGCAATGGAAAAGATCACAGAGACTGGGATCACTACAAACAAGACAGCAGGTCTGTTTCTTCAGGAATTTTAAAATCTGCTCAGAATTCCATTCGTACTTTTGTAGTATTCTTGTAGCAAGCACCAAAACGTATTTTTTGAGTAATGCAGAACTGCAAAAATTATTTCTCTAATGCAGTTCCGTTGACTTAACCTGAGTGTGGTTTTTAATGTGTGTTCAGTAACACTAATACAAATAATTTCTATTTTTTAGATACTACAGTGATAGTAAACGCAGAAAATTAGATGACTACAGGAGCAGAGACCACAGGTCAAACCTGGAAGGAAGTTTAAAAGACAACTGGGCTCATTCAGATCACCGTTCCCATTCAGACCACCGGATACATTCAGATCACCGTTCCACTTCGGAGTACAGCCATCACAAATCTTCTAGAGATTATAGGTACCACTCAGACTGGCAAATGGACCACAGAGCTTCGGGTAGTGGCCCAAGGTCACCACTAGATCAGAGGTCTCCTTATGGTTCAAGATCTCCCCTGGGACACAGATCTCCGTTTGAACACTCATCAGATCACAGAAGTACACCTGAACATCTATGGAGTAGCCGGAAAACATAACAAAGACTGACATTTTCTGGACCTTCTTTTAGCCATATACAGTAAACTAACACAGTAATTGCCTTACATGACTTGAAAGATACGGACTGGATATTCAATCAGTAGCAGTATTGTTACTTCTTTCCAGGATGCAAGGTCTATTATCCCAACAGAAGAAAAATATTTTTGTATTTAAAGTTTATGCTGCACTGTGCTGCAAATGTTGTGGCACTCTTTTTTTTAAGAAATAGAAGATGTTTACTTTTACAGGGACCTCAACACTGCCCCTTTTAGACTGGATCTTACTATAAAACTCTTCATGTGAAAGTGGATTTAGGCTGAATGGATTTTAAATTATGTTTGTAAATGAACTTTTAAACACTGACCTATGCTTGTATTTCAGGAAGGAATGGGGAGTTTTTCTTTTGTTTCTTAGTAAAGAATTCTCAAGGACTTTGTTCACTTTCCAAAGCTACTTGTTTACATTGTACACTGCGACCACCTTGCCGCTTTTCATCACAAGCTTGAATATTTAAATTCTGTACCTATAACTGTAAAATAGCCAGGATTTCTCCTGTTTGTGATCAGTTATAATGCCTTTTTACAAAACAAACAAACAAATAACAGTAATAATTAAAAAAACCCCACACAAACGAATGGCTGTAAATTATTGTAAATTAATTAAATAAGCTTTTTTCCCCTCTCAGGCTTTTTCTGACTGTTCTTTTCCCCACCAGCTCAGGCTTTCTGGTCACAGGTGTGAAGCAAAATCAGTGTACTTTCATGTTTTAATAAAATACCTTGATGGAATAATTGTTCAGAATGTAAAATTGGGGAAAGGGAACATTTTATTCCATTAGTGCTCTTTTTTATTGGATACTTTAGATAAATGTTTTGGTTTTCTGGATTTGTTTGAGTTTTTTGGTTTTGGTTGGGTTTTTTGTTTTGTCTTTTTGTGGGGGGGTGGTTAGGTTTTGGGGTTCTTTTTTCCTGTTAGGCTGTCAGTGTTGTGATTCTAATGAAATGGTGAGAAATACCCAGCTAAACTGAGCTCTGGAAAGTTTTTCAGGTGCATTGGTTTTAAAGAAGGAGTGTTAAATATCTGAACACTTCAGAATCCATATCAGCAAAAATTTATCTCAAATCCATTTGTGTTCCCTCTTCAACATGGGCAATAATGTCAAATGTGCTATGCAGCCAGTTAATATTTTAGAAGATTTGATTGACTTTATTGACAGAATTGTTACAATGCACACTGATTGTACCTAGATAACTTCTATCTGACTAATTAAATTTAAACTAAAAGGATATGTGGGCTCTTGTAGTTTTCTGCTATGTTTTTCTCTACTGCGTTACTTTTTCTCAGGCTTACCCATAAAAAAACACATTAAACTCCTAAGTACTTAATTTTAATACACAGTGTGATAATTAGGGAAGATGTCTAGCCTGGCATCATCTGGTTGGAGCTGTATCTGTTGCTTCGATTTTTCTCTGCTCTTGTAATGTTGAGCATTTTTTCAAATTAAACAGGTTTTATATGAAAGCATTATTAGAGATCCGAAATCTGTCCGCAGAATATCTGTCAGGATCTCATTGTAGGCATAGTTGCTGCACTAAGTTATAAGCTTATTTAGTGTAGGCTGGGACTTCATTTCTTAATTCTTCATCTTTCCAGGATATGGAGCGTTTTGAGTTGTTCTGGTTTTGAGCTTATTTGCTGAAGCAGCTTTTAGGAAGAGTGGTATCTGATAAGGTTGTGCATGTGTGCTGTGCATCTTCTGCTTCCAATGAGGAAAATCTAGAAGTTGAAGCATCACCAACAACTGACTGTTCTTACTGCTTGGATAGCACGTAGATGCATCAACAGCATAGAGAAAACAGTCCCACTAAGTCTGGTTCACCATCAGTGTAGCTATATTATGGTATCGTGGTTGAGTGTGTCTAACATGACATAGTCTCCATCTATTTTTTTTTTTAAAGACATCTCAGGTCTCTCTGAAATAAGCAAGACGGAAAATACTGCCACCTGGGTGGCTTTGTTTAGGATCTTTGGCAATTAGTCCACTTAGGCTGTGTTAACTTTTAATGAATCAAATTTATGGATTTACAAATCACATTTGCAGCAGTTTAAATTTTTCATCTCTGATTTCAATTAAATCAAGTATAAAGTTTCATGGAGGACATAGCGTCTACTGCTTATGAGGCTTGCTGTTATGGTGTATCTTACTATTTAGGAGAATCCCATGTCCTCTGCAAATAAGCCATTTAGAATTAATTTTACATGCTTGCAGATTTGATCATTCTTCTGTTCATTTGTAATGAAAAGTCTTCAAAGAGTGTGTCCAGTTTCAAAGTATCCATCAGATACTAATGTTGCCTGTCTGTAAGAGGTTTTGGGAAGTACAAATTCTAGTGACTGCAAGAGAACACTTCATATGTTTCATGTACCATGCATGGAAGTCGAATATTTTCTCTTTAATCCTGTTATATGTTTCTAGTCTACCATTCTCAGTACTACCTAAAAAGAGTACACTGTTAGTCTGAAAAGCATGTTAAAAAATGTATTGCTGCTAACAGTTTGAAGGACAGAGAAGTGCATGCTCTGACTGGTAGCCAGTTAGTTCATCAGCTGCTGTGTTGGCATCATTTACTTTCTCAGTCACTCTGTTTTCCCTGCTTTGATCTTCAGTGCAGGTGTCCCGGTGTCTGAGTGGCACTAAACTAGCCTCTGGTTTCTGAGAGCATTTCACTACTATCAAGAACAGGACTTGCAAAGAGTTCAAACACCAACCACAAAAGGATGGCAGTTTCCACAGAAACATGATGCTTCTACAAAAGGAGTGTGCCCCGACTGCCCTTTGAGACAGCACAGTGACCTAGAGCACTGACTCCGTAGGCTGAATACCTTTGATGCCTGTCTTCCTTTTCAAAGCTCGATTGACTTGTTTTGTCCGTGTATGATATTCTGTCATCAACAAATGGATCTTGTCACCTCCACAGCCCTTACTGTTTAGCTACAGATTTCCCACTTAATGTATAAAATCCCAGTGATGTAGTGATCTATTTTAAGGAGCTGTTTTAATCTCCAGTTTAATACTTAGGGATGTGTTCAGTGACACCAGCTTTTTTTTGGTAGGAAATTACCTCAGCATTACTTGAGAAGGTGGACAGGACTGAAGACACTAAAGGAGATCATTCTGATACAGCTTTTCTTCCTGATGAGACTGAGATTGCAAGTTTCTCCATGATCAAGTTTTATTTGAACAGCAAATTAATGAAATCCTAGCTTATGTTTGTGTACTATGGCTGAAATGAGGTCACCTCATTTTTACCTTTACAGAAATAAATGTAGACAATCTCTTGCTTCTATTACAGGGTAGTAAATACTTTTAAAATAGGTTAACACCTGGTATGAATTATCCACTTGTACTGGTCCGTGTTTGTTTTACATGTGTTGGTACAGATTTGTAGTGCTGTGACTTGTATCTCTTCAGTCTTTCAACGAGCTACTATGGCTGCACTGGAGAGTTAAGTTTTGTTCTTAAAACTTTATGCTGAAGCTCTTATTTGTGAAACGCTTTAGAGGCAATAGCTAAGAAATACAATTGTTGAGACACTGCTAGGAGCAGAAAGGAAGTTCATGAAACTCATTTGTTTCTTAACCTTTTAATTTTTCTATGTAGTCCAGTTATTCTTAAAATACAAGTCAACAAAGAAAAAGTAATACTCTCACACTGTATGGGGTCAGTGAAAGATCTTCCTTTTGGATAAGGCCAATACTAAACCAAAGAATGTTTCTAGCATGTGTTTTCCAACCCTCTTGCCCTAGCAATGTATTGGTAACTATCTTATTTTTTTATTTTCAAAACTTCTAACAAGCAAAAATTTGCTTTGGGGTAAATAATGACATGATGATTGTTAATGTGCAATAAAAAGGAAAAATTCCTATTGTCCTGTTGAAAAGAAAATAACTATTTCTAGACCTAACATACAAAGAAAGTAATCCTGATTTTTTAATTATTTGTAGCATCTTCATAAACCTATTGTGAAAGCTGCTTACTTTGTTTTACACTTTAAAACTGAATCAGCATTAGGCTTTTAGTTTGTATTATATAAATAAAATTCCTACTTAAAATACAGCAGGAGAATTTTTTTTTGAAAAATAGTCTTAGATATCTGTTCATGTTCTATATGTTATATGCTATAGGAAAAAAAAATGAGTTTTACAGAAAAGTGGTAAGTCCTGGTCAAGAGCATAATTTTCAGTTTACTCCAAAACTTCATTATTTACATGAACCAATAAATACAGAAAAATTGTACACACTTACTGTGGATTATCAAGACTGTATTTCAAATTTGTTCTATTGTATAATATAACTTATTTTCATGAATCTTATTCACAGGAAGTAAACTGAGCAACAGCCTTTTGAGATACATAAGTGCTGTCTGGATTTTATGAAGAAACTTCAAAGTAATTAATTACAGTTCTATGTTTAGTCATTAGATCTAACTGTACTGAACTAAACTGTTTACTTGGCAGCATATTTTAACTGTTACATGACTGAATATGAAGATGATACTGATTTATTTCCTTCTCGCTGCATGGACCCTGCAGCACTTTGTGCAAAAGGCAACAGGACACAAACTGCCAGAACACTGCACAAGTCAATCTTGGGCCACATTTGGAGGGCCTCTGGTAAAGAAGTCTGCAAGGGATGAGCTGTGGACCAGATACGGTTGGCAAACCACAGCATAGGCACTTTTTTACTGAAAAAAATAATCTAGCTGTACCAACTCTCTTCTGGTATTGATTTGCAAACTTAATACAACATAGGGTCTTTTTGTATGTAGGCTGTAAGTGAAAGTTGCTCTCTTCTCCCAAGTACCTAGCAATGAGAGGAAATGGCCTCAAGTTGCACCAGAGAAGGATTAGATTGTATATTAGGAAAAATTTCTTTCCTGAAAAAGTGGTCAAGCATTGGAACAGAATGCCCAGGGAAGTGGTGGTCACCATCCATGGAGGTGTTCAAAAAATGTGTAGATGTGGCACTTCAGGACATGGTTTAGTGGGCATGGTGTTGCTGTGTTGATGGTTGGACTTTATGATCTTAGAGGTCTTTTCCAACCTTTAAGATTCTGCGATCCATTCTGTGAAAGCCAGTGAAAACACACACTACTGAATAAATCTATATGAAATATTTTTCTGTTTAGGAGTTATTTCCAAAAATATTAATCCTAAACTTAAGCAAATTTGTGTAGTTGGTGTAATTATGAGAGCTGGGCCCACAGTTGATCCTGTGTAGTTTGAGGTACCACATTCGTACCAGCAGAAAGAAGAGCATTGCTCGAAGGATGACAATCTTACAGCTGTGTATGGGGTGCCTGGCTGTACTTTGGGGGCACATGATTGTTGAGTATGTATTGCTTGGGTGCCAGCCAAGTGATCGTTGAGGAGGTGGTGCCCCAGGGTACTGCCAGTCTCTCTGACCCTACTGTTCAAACCTGAAGTATCCAAGCTCACCATGGTACTGATGCCCTTTATATTCCTAGCCCAAATTCACATCCCACAGCTCATCCTCAGTGGTTCTCAGTGTGTGTTTTTGTCAACCTCCCCCAGAGACAAGGAAGAAAAAGCTTTCTTTTAGCCATCCTTTCCACCTGATCATTTCTCTGCTTTTGAATCCACCTTCCCATC